CCACTGTTGCGACATCACCCAAGTGTTCAGGAGAGACCACACATTGCTTTTCCGGTTGTGTAAATATAGACGTGCCTGCAGCAACGACCAGAGATCCTGAGGGCATGAATCATAAGATGAGGGACAACAGGCCTGTCCCATAGGGGGATGCTGCTCTCCCCAGCTGCTCCCCCATTCACCGGCTGCCCCATTGCCCCACTCCTCCAAACCCACACTCTGTTCCTGTTGCTTTGAGGACTCCCTGGAGCAGCCCTTCTCACCAAGAATAGAGCTGCTTCCTGGCCAATCTTTGAAGGAAACTTTGTTCCACCTGAGATATATCCAATGCTCCCTGCATGTGGGTGTCCTAAGGGTGACATTCTTTTGGTCACCAGTGAGGCATCCAGATTAAGATTTCACATGTCCACATTTGATCTCATCTCCCGCCCCTGCCCCCCCCCCCCAGGCTAGCTATCTATAGATAATCAGGAAAGTTAAGGGCTTACCTCAAGGCACTTTGAACTTCTTCAGGTCGTTGGTGACCTCACTCCAGGATCACATGATCAACAATAGACTTCTTGGGTAGGTCACTTGAAGGCATGCTTGGAGCAGACTCGTTGAGGGCCTTCAGCTTTCGGACTGCAGAGACAAATGTTCTTCAAAATAACCAAGTGTTGTGGTCACATGAAGGTATGTACCTTGTATCACGGAACAGGTGGATAGGCCATGGGACATGGCTGAAAATAAGGGGTACCAGGTAGGATCGGAGTACCTAGAGAGACTAAAGCACTATGTAGTATGTCTTGTTTCACACTTGATTGACTAGGCTGTCAGCAGCATACACTCAGTGGCTTCACGGCTGAAACTGATCCTCTCACTGGAAGTTCAGAGTCAATGTGTTGGTGGGATTGGCTTCTCCTGCAGCATCTTTCTCTGGCTGCAGCTGCCAGTGTCCTCTCGTGGCCATCTTGTGTGTATGTTCTCATCTTCTCTCATTTGTAGAATATCAGTGAGGTATCATTAGGGCTCAGCTTACATCACTCCTACTTGTGTCAAATGCCTGGTGTACAAAAACTTAAGGGAAGAAAGATGTATTCTTCCCCCAGTCTGAGATTTGAGTCCATTATGGCTGGGGCGGGGCAGGGCGAGGTGGGGTGGGGAGG